TTTTTAGGCCAATGAAAAGGTTTGTTACAAGCGAGATTAAATTATTGTGCATTGTCTGTAAAGTCGTACATGTAAGTTTTCGTTCTCAAAATACATACATTGTGACGTGTGGTTTTGGTATTAGGTACTGCAGGTAATGGGAATTGCCTCTTACAAGAATAAACAGTAACATCAGTTAACCCATGAAACCAATTTATATATTAAAGCCATAAAGTTCAGAATTTACTTCATAAGATTTTCCGATTATGGTCACACAAAATGTTCCTACCGTCATCCCGAACCTTACTACGTCTTCACACTTACGTACAGATGTAGTTATTCACAGAAGCACCAGGAGTCATGCATTTTCATCTGTATTCAAATTGTGTCTAGATTGTCTAGATTGTAGATTAAATGCCGTACGAAGGTAATTCGAATGAAGATCATAGTGTAGTTTAAGGTCATCATTTCTATAAAGTTAATATTTCGACAGAAGGTCATATTTTGGTCAAATTTGGTTATAATATAACACGTTATGTATTTGTAATATGATGTGGCCGTGGGGGCATCAAAGCAAACATCAAAGCACTCGGCTGAATGATGTATGAAATTGGCCTTGTCTAGTGATTGTCTGTCCGAGTGACAAAGTTTCTAACGGGTTTAACACATTTGTTGTATTGTTATCATGTATCACATGTTCAGGTGAGAGACTGACGTCATGATGAAGTTATCTTAATATAAAGTTTTAGTTTAAGGCGTTAAGATGTTTACTTACAATGTGTAAAAACTTTAGATGTGATGTAAGTTTGCAAATTGATGTTTTTAAATGAAGTAGAAATGTAGAAATAGCAAAGTGTTGTCACCACCCAGGAATGTCTTGGTGACCTTAAACAATCACAGCTCATGGTCATATAACAACAATTGATATAGTTAACCATGATGCTTATAGCAATCAAGCAATAAATCTCCTCCAAACGACGTAAGTTCTACCTTTGAGACTTCTAGGAAACATAACTATGATTATTTTCCATAGAAGACAGCGCTTCCTTTGAAACCTCTATAGGAAACACAACACTACAGCTGTCTCTATTGACCAAAGTGCAGTTGTAGAGACTTCAAGGAAACACACAACACTTTTCTATAGAATATAGCAAGTACTGCAAATAATCGTTTTCCTTAGACGAAAGTGTTGAGTTTGAGATCCATAACAACGACATCACTTGTTTTTTCCATAGAATACACAGTTTACACTGCAACCTATATATTGAAGTCAGAACACTAAATCGTTTTCAATAGACGATAGTGCTGACCTTGACAGTGGTTCTGATGAAACATCTTTTATCTAAATACAATCCCTGATTAACCCTATTTGAAACCTGTCATGATAAATAATTAACACCGCCTAGCAAAAGTTGACCGACTTAAACAGATATTGCGGATAAGATTTTTAGAAAGTATAAATTCATGTCATAGTTCGGCTTTAGCCTGTCAGTCAAAAAGTGTATCTTGCAAAAGATGGATTGGTGTAAAAATATTTACATAAATATTTTACCTTTGAAGCTTCTTGTTTTATCGTAAAATCCTTGGCATATTAACATATAATTTCATCGAAAGTTTCATATAAGTAAGACATTGTTGTATTTTTTTCTCAACAGCCCTGCCACCTGAAGTCTACGCCATCTGGGAGGCCTATCCTTGGCGGTTTGGGGAGCCCTTTTGTATTTTCAAATCCTTTCTTCTGGAATCTACGTCATACGCGTCTGTGTTGACAATAACTGGGTTTACGATAGAAAGATACATCGCTATCTGCCATCCAATCACGGGACAGAAAGTGTCTCGACAATCACGTGCTATGAAATGCATACTTTGCATTTGGATAGTCTCGGCATTATCCGCCCTACCATACCCCATCCACACTCGAACGTTTTATTACATGCAGGATCCTCGGACTTCATCCCCGATACAAGACTCCCTTCTCTGTAACATCCCGATACAGTGGCATCCTAGAATGAAAATAATGTTTCAGGTGTCAACTTTCGCCTTTTTCTTCCTGCCAATGACTGTTATAACCGTTATGTATATATTGATAGGGATTCGGTTACGAAAAACAGAAATAGGTTCGTCCATCAGATATTTTTCAAAAGGTGCAAAGTCCACAGCAACCCGTGCAAGAAAGGCTGTTCTCCGTATGCTAGGTAAGTATAATCTTATTTCCTTCTTAAAACAATATCAATTGATTGAATGAACTCGAAAATGAACTACAGTGAACATATGTGAAAACAGTTTAATGGATAGGGAAATAGTAATTGATGAGAAGCAGTTTTAATTGATTGGATAGATTATTAATTGATGGAATAAAATATAGATAGAACAAAGTTTTAACTAATGGATACAGTATGAATAGATGGGATACAGTATTATTTGATATGACATATTAATAATTGATAGAATAACGTATGAATTGATGGATACATTATTAATTGATGGGATAGATTAATGACTGAAATTCGGTATTAATTGATAAGAAACAATATGATTTGATGGGGTATGATATTTATTGATGGGATACAACATTAATTGATGGATAGATAATTAATTCACGATATACAAATCTGTAAATCATCAATTGATAAGATACAGTATTAATTGATGGGGTAGATTAATAAAGAAATTCGGTAATAATTGATGAGATACAATATGTTTTTGATGGGATATTATATTAATTGATGGTTTACGACATTAATTGATGGATAGATTATCAATTGACGATATACAACCAGTACAGCATTCATCGATGAGGTACAACATTATTTGATGGTATACAGTATTTGTTAATGAGTAAATTATTAATTGGATACAGGATCAAATAATAGCAAATAAAACATAAAAGCTTTGATCTGTATATACATTTTGATTGAAGATTTGTTGATTTAGATATACCATATGAATGTATTGACAATAGAGAGGACATAAATAATGAATATTATTGGGTATTAACCCGTGAAAGTGCAACTGTAATACATACCAGGTGACTAAACGGATTTTATTCACCCTTTTTGTTAAGGTTAAATCACTTCAGAAAGACCTCCGTGATATTTTCAAGTGCCCGAATATTTTCTTGTCTTGTTTAATAACTGTATACTCTTTTTAGTGGCACTGATTAAAGACTTTTATGTTTTTGTGTAGATGTCATATTAACGAAGCATTGCGTTCATTCTTCGTTCATTGCCTGTCACCGACTTCCTCCTCTTCGAAACAGAATTAACAAACAAAACACTTACAGATTGCTAGAATGTAATGTGCGTCTATCCATATAGCATATATATGGCTGCCATCCGCTTAAGGTCGATAATTCTGTAACAATCTGCCTTTGCAATAATACAGGAATATCATAAACTATACACGATTTTCTCTGTATTGAGGAAACTGTGCATCCTGGTCTTTGACCTTCAGTGTTAGTATGAGTGCAGAATGAGTTAAATGGTTACCAAAACATATTTTGCTCTTTTTGATAGTATTATTTTGTTCAGCATAGCGTAACTGAAATATACATATTACATTGAAAGTATTCTTATTAACGATTCTAATGTTTACAGTTTTTGTATGCAGTAACGTATTTCATTTTTAGAAAATAACGCCAAACTATAAAACATTGGTGTTGTCATACGTAATAAGTTCTTTTTGTAATAGAAATATCTTACTTAAGTATACCTTAATAATTTGTGTCAAAAAGATCAAGCTTTCGTGTGGTGTTGACAGAGACTAACATAGATCACACAAGCATTTGTTTATGAAGAAAATAAATGTTATTAATGTTTTAATAAGAAAATTTGAGTGTATATTTTACCTTGGTTTTTAATTAATTCAGCCAAAAAAGCTGTTGAAGCCCTTGATTTGTCAGTCCATTTATTTTATTTGTTTATTTTGTTTTTTGAATTTTCAAACTTATCTCTACACATTGTTTTAAATATGAAAACAAATTTAAATAGATACATGTATAATATTAAAATTGATACACTTAAACGTTATTATAAAAACCTATTTCAAACGTTTTCACGTAGACATTCAACAAATTGTTTATGAAAAGTAATCAAGATACGAAAGATAAGCAAAAGCAATGAATAATTATCGTTTGTGAAAATGACGTACCTTTTGGAATCGACAGCTTTTACTCAGAAAATATACCTGATAAGTGTTAACGATTAATCAATAAGTAAATGCACGTGCTGTCAATGCTTCTCTCGCCATCATTGATCTTCTTGCTTCATGGTTCTATAATCACAACAGCGGATTAATTTGTCTGCTATGATAACGTTTACTATCCGTTCACGCCGAATACAATCTCCATTGCCCAGCGTCCTGTTAGCTTTGTCACCGGTTGATTGTAACACGTTGGTTCCGCATTGCTCTCAAAAGATGTCAGAATTGATTTTAGTAAGTCAAATGATTTAAATTTGCCAGATATTTCAGGCGGTGGAATTAGGTTGCTGATTGATTAAACCTTAACAGCTTCAGGTAACAAAAGTAGTAGTTCCTAGAAATCTGTCAAGACCTAGTACACATCTGCCTAAATACCAAAAGAAAATCAAGAGAGGAAAAAAGGTGGGGGGGGGGGAAAGAGAAAGAAAAAACAAGTCGGCATAATTTAAGTATAACACGCGAATTAATCAAAAGAAGAAATTTGAATTCTGATTTGTAA